AACGGGGGGCAAAGATGGGAACAAGGCTAAAATTTTGGGAGGTATGCTATGACTTTGTGGTAAAGTCAGTGGACTAAGAGCAGTGTCTTGAAACCAAAAGGTAAATTAAAACAACAAAGAAAATTCAGAGGTGAAAACAACAGCTAAAATAACTGAAGTTTTGAAGTCAGGAGAGGGGCTTAGCTACTGATTTTCAACTTGGTTTTATAAAAGTCAATAAGGCCAAACTCTAAGGCGGCAAATCAGAAAAGCTGGAGTGGGTAAGGTGCCTAAGCCAAGAAATGCATATTTAGAGCTCACACTGTCCAGCAGCACTCTGCAAATTGCACCAGGATTTCTTTATATAATTCTCACTAATGCTGGCTGATGCTAGACGAGGAAATCCTCCACAAACGAGCAGGGCAATCCATCCCAGAGCCGGGCCTGTAAAATAACACACCGCCTGGAAACTTCCAGGCACCTCAGCACAATATGGGTGAGTTGAGGATAAAGTTTCAAGCCCGAACTCCATAATTTCCTGTCTTTTGCTAGGCTGCACAGCTCTTTTAATGTTATGCTAATGCCATTTTTGCGGGTGTGATTGAATTACCCCGCCGCTCTTGATGCCAGCATTAGTGGATGTCGGTGTAACAGGAGAGCGGGGCCTACGGCACACACTGCTCCCAAGCACCACTTAGGAGCACCATGGGGGCCTGCCCAGCTGCAGGCGCCCATGGAGCTCGGGGACGAGCGCGACGCACGCGCGGGCCCATGGGAAGGTCTGTCCCAATGGGTCCTCCGGCCAAAAAAGCGGCGCCCCTGGGAGGCTGCTGCCAGCGCCGGGACGTCTCCTGCCCCGCTGCCGCAACTTGGCAACGGGGGAGGATAGAGATGTATTCGCCTGGTGGCGTTTCAGCGCCAGGTGCAGGCGCGGGTGCTCGAGGCTGCGCCGGGGCCGGCCTCGTGCTCTGGTGACGGCTCCGACGCGGCCTGCAAGGCGGGCAGCAGCGCGGAGAGCTCCAGGACGCCGCCGCGGGGCCTTCAGCACAGGATTCTCATCGACAGCCTCGCCCTGCTAAGCGGCAGCTACCAAACAAGGGATTCGCACTGCAGAAATGTTCCTCTTCAGAAGGGGATTGCATTAGGGAAAAAAACGGGGAAAAAAAATAGAATGAAAGAAAAATATGAATGGAAATAAGAAAGGAGGGAGACGAGGAATGTAAATTTGTTGCACAGTTGGCTTGGTGCACACTAAGCTGCTCTGACAAATAACAACCTCCGAGGATCTGCAACGTATCCTCGTCCTACCTCCTCCCGCTCCGACCCACTCCTTGCCACAAGAGGCCCCTCACGCTGGCCGGTGCCGCCAGAGTTACCGCTGGTCGCAGCACCCCGGGTCCCAGCGCTACGGGAACGGCCTGGCACCCGAAACTGTGGGCTTGTCGTTAGGGGGAATTCCTTCTTTATATCAAAGAGAGCAAGAGGGACAGCCAAAAAATGCCAGATCCTCACAAGAACGAGCACTTCAGATCCATGCTACAGAAAGCCAGGTTTTCCATACTGCCCACCAAAGACAGTTGATGAAATGCCTAAAAGTTAAATATAATAAGATGTGTATTTCAGTGCTGCTAGTATTTTATAGCTGTAATCATTACAGCCTGCCTTCCCCTTCTGTAAGACCTGCAATCACATCCTCCGTCCAACTCTTACATTAGGTACTAAGGAAAATCGTGCTATGAGTATATTGCCCTTTTTTATTTAAACTCTACTAATGCCTTGGTCATATTCCACTCTGTTCCATTGCAGCAGCCAGTTTTGTTTTCCATTTAGAAGCAATTGCTATGAGTTTATTTTTTTCTGAGACTCAAGGGGCTGCCCCTATTTGTATCCTTCGGCTCCCTGAACTGCAGTGTGATTATGGATGAATTCATTTGTTATGCAGTTCAGAAGGCACTTAATAACCAGTATATTGAAATGTTTGAGCTAAGTTACAGTAATTAAAAAACTTCATAATCATACTCCATTTAACTGACAATCCTAAATTTGGTGTCGATTTAAGTAAAGCAGAGGGGACAAGAAGCATGACTAGATGACTAAAGAAATCAAATTCTACAAAAGTAAGATAAGGCATGGCTTAGGTCCAAATTCCTTATTATTTTTAAACAAAGCTTCTAAGCTGTTGCAGTTTTCTTGTCAGATGGGCTTTTGTTACTCAAAGACAAGGGTGGACTGACAAAACAATTCACAACCAAAGGTAATGCAAACTTCCTAGGTAGAAACAGAAGCTTCTGGTTGGGACACACTTTCAGGACCAGCATATCATGGTTTCTACAGGAAAAATATTGCAGCTTGTTCCATTTCTGCTAAGGCACTGAGGAAGCCCTTTGAGCATCATTTCTCCTGCTCAGGAGCATCATCCCGTTCAGGATGTTCCAGCTATGCCACACACAAATAGAGGTGGTTTTATAAACTACACGTAACAACAAGTTATCATGAAAAGGAAACAATTTCTAACCTTAAATAATTAGTTTTAAAAACATTCAAATACCCCCAGACGTCATCTGTAGTCCTTGATGAAATTATCCAAAATCCCTGCCTTATAATCAGAGACTTGAAGAGCTCCATCTACTTTGATTACGAAAGAAAAAAGTCTGAAAGGTGACTTGATTATAGCACATAAGTACATCTTGGAAGAGGACCCAGCGGGGAGGGAAAGGAGCAAAAAGGTCCTTAATCCAATTACACCAGAACCGTCAAGTCAAAATTCAACACCAGAAGGCTGTTTGGGAAGCGAGTCAGAAGTTGTGGCAGGGCCCATGGTTAACCAAAGCGACAACCTGGTTAAGAGCAGTGGTTGCCTTGCTGCTGCTTCCTCTCCTCAAACCCAGAGCGGGTGCTTTCCTCAAGGCCATTCTCTAGACACATATAAATTGCTATATTCAGTCCAAGAGCAAAAGAGGGAAATTTAAGGACTTCAGACCAGCAGGAGATAATACTAGATCATCCCTTGGACTCTTCTGGATCTTAAATGCTATGAATCTGTGAGGCATTTCATCCCTTTTAGGGATTAGGTTCCTACTATAAAGAAGCCAAAAAAATTAATGTTCTTCTTGAATCAATGAATTACAGAAAATAATTGAGGTTTCATAATTGGATTATAATCTCAGGGGTATATGGAAATGCTGAACTGGGAAACTGAAGTGAGGAAAGCGTGGGTTTTTTTATTTCTTTTTTAAAATGTGATCACCAGGCAGTAACACCCATAAATGCTACACTTAGCACCCATATTGCCCTGAAACATTAATATGGCTCTGATCCTGCAACGAAGAGTATGTGAACAGACCGCTGGGCTCCCATGAAGTTCTCATGTGAGACTGGGCGTACACTGACAGAGTTTATTTCAGAACAGGACTTCACTAGCCACATTGCTGTTATCTGCCTCATTTCCATACAGCCCAGGAGAATGGTCTTTGCTCTCCCTAGCACCCGTGAGGGGGAGGTAGAGAATGAAAAAACCTTTTCGGATTTCAGTCAGATCAACATCTTTTAAAAATTAAGCTGAAAACATTCCATCTTTTCCTGTCTGCTTTATAATGAGGCAGACAGAAAACCTCTGACGTGGTTGCAAAAATTCTGAGAAATGCCTTCTCTAGTGAACATCTTTTTTAAAAAAATAGTTTTTAATATAAATCTAGCAGTAGCGCTTGTCACACACATAATTCTGGGAAGTTACCAAATACTTGGAATGAAGGACATTGCATGCTACATAGCACGGAGCTCTTGTCGATGCTTGTTTGGAACAGTATGGGAAAGTCTAGCAGCCGAACACAATGACATTTTTGTTCCAGTGCTGATAATATTCAGTAGCTTTGCCATCAAAGCTGGCCTGCCACTTCCCCTCGTATAGAAGTTACAGCCATGCTCCGAGTGCCTTGCCTTTAGCTGGAAGCAGGACCCAGGTCATTCCGGTTTCTGGGGCAGCGAGTAGGCATTTATGTATTTATTTTTTATTTTAAGCACGGCTAGCATTGTTTCTGCACAGGCTAGCCTTAGGACAGCAGTATTTCTCGGGCAGAGCAGCAGACTGTCTGCGCACGCTGTCCAGGGAACGGCGACAGAGGTGGATCTGCTGCACAAATGCCAGCACAGGCCCCGACCCCCTCGTCCCCAAAAGCTCTGCGGGCTCCCAAACGGCGCCCAGCTCGAGCGCTCCCTGTTCCCTGCTCCGCTCCCCCTGCATGGACCCGGGACACTTCTGCTGTCCTCCAGCTGCCATCCCTTTGCCAAGACACCCTCTAAGGGGAGAGCAGCCCCGCTGACCCTCCCGACTGGCCGCACACACAAACACACGGGACACCTGGAGAAAGGAAGAGGCCGAGGAAGGAGTGGGAAGACGCGCATCTCCAAGGAGGCCAGCGGCAGCTCATGAAGCGAGTCTGCCCTTTCTTCCTCCAACCCCCTTCCTGCACACTCAGCAGAGCAAGCTGCTTGTACAGTTGTGCCCTTCACATGGCTACATAGAAGACTCAATATTTCTGCTATGAGGTTTTTTTTCCCCCCCTCCCAAGGACTTTAATTAAAATTCATCAGAAGAAATGTTTTCAGCAGCAGCGTCTGAGAACGCTGCCTCCTCC